TAACACATAGACAGATGACTCTCCTCCATCATTTTAATTTTTTAAATTTATAAGTTTTATTATAAAAACCTTGATTTAAATAAAAATATCACACCAACATTAGACTGAAAGTCTATACAACTAAATCACCTATCTGCAGTTCATTAAGTTCAAATTTCCATTTGAAATGGAAAGTATAAAGCTTCACATTAAATTTTATACTTTCAGTAGTAAATTTATTTTATGAACTTATCCACCACCCAAACAAAAAATAACCATGACAGAATTAGGACTTGAACCAACAATTAGCTTTATATGTTTTTTTATAACTCATGTATATAATTTTTTTTATCCTCAACACCGTAACATTTTGATACCTTATATAATTTAATGATTAGATAGCAATGCTAGCATTTGGAAGGTATTTGTAATTAAGTGAATCAGTATTTTTCAGATGACCTGTGCATCAAATCAAGTATGGGTACCAAATGCATTCAGAATGCAAGGAGGGCCAGTATATTTTTGTGTAACAGAACATAGCTAGATAAAAGGAATATGGTTAATATGGTTTCAGATTCTCTTTTAAAGAAACTGCTAGTTGTCGATTTCTGATGTATCCGGACAGTCACAATTATATGAAAAGATTATTAAAATTCTATCTCCCAAATTACACTTGTGAACCCTGATATAAAAAAAAAACAACTATTTTTCTGCCAAACAACTTGATTTTAACATGTTGAATATAGAGGCAGATATATGTATTCAGTTGTCTTATTTTAACATGTTGAATATAGAGGCAGATATATGAATCCAGTTGTCTTATTTTAACATGTTGACTATAGAGGCAGATATATGAATCCAGTTATCTTATTTTAACATGTTGAATATAGAGGCAGATATATGAATCCAGTTGTCTTATTTTAAGCTAAGTAGGTATTAGCAGAAAATGTAGTTCAGTGTCACACGTTTCTTTTACTTTTTTTATTTTGGAAAACATAATTATCTTTAAAAACATTTATGAATCTGGTTGGTAGCACACACCTTTAATCTCAGCACACACCTTTAATCACAGAGTCCTGTGGATCTCTGTGAGTTCAAGGTCAGCCTAGTCTATAGATTGAGTTCCAGGACAACCAGGACTGTTACACAGAGAAACCTTGTCTCGAAAAACCAAAAAAAAAAAAAAAATCATTTATGATATCATATGTAGCATGAATGATTAAAAACTCAGAGACTAATATTGGGGTTCAATCTGAAGATCAGAAAAGCAAAGCAACGAGCCACTGGCTCTACCTCAGACTAAAATGGCGATCCTGCCTCTAGGAATCTCACAATGAGACTGCTTCCGAGAGCTGTTTCCTCCCATCATATATTCCTCTCTAGGGATATGGTTAAAGGCATGCACCTCTACCACCCAGCTTCTATGGCAAACTAGTGTGGCTACTGGGATTAAAGGTGTGTGCCACCTCTGTCTGGTCTGTAAGCCTGACCAGTGTGGCTCTTTTACTCTCTGATCTTTAGGCAAGCTTGATTTATTAAAATACAAATGAAATATCACTATAATCATATAAAATGTTAGTGTTTTTCCACTAATAAATACATAATATTTTTCTTTTCTAACTTTAATATGGCAAATATGAATAGATGTCACCCTAAGAATCAAGCTCTTTGGAGTCTTCAATAATTTTAAAATTTTAAAAGATGTGTTTAAGCCTCAGAGATTGAGAAAATAACTTTTCTGTAAGAATGAAACATAATTTCATATGTGGTAGAGTAAAAACATGTAAGATGAGTAAGCTTTTTTTGTTTTTAATTTCTTCATTATTGTAATTTTGATTATAAAAGAAGAAACTTCCTGTATTTAGTAAATCTCTGAAACCTTTGAGCCTGGTACTTAGGGTCATTGACATTTGCTTAGCTTTGCAGTTTATTATTTTAGTTATGAAAATCCCTTTTACTTAGTGCTTTAAAATGTTAGATAGTACATCTTTAATCAGTTGTATAAACACACACCCATCTGTTCACTGACAGACAATACTTTGGCCAAAACTTATATGAGTAAGTATACTTCTGGAATTGGAACTCTTTATCTTAAACAATTTAAGTTTTATATAACATTTTGTCTTCATAATTGATCAAGTTCTTTGGTGTATTCTATATATTAGGTTTAAAAATAGATTTTTGTGATTAAATGTACTGACTCAGTACTGATAAGTTATAAGATTTTAATTTTGAATTTAATGCTTCCATTATAAATGGTACTAATGGTAGATGATGGGTATGCTGATTTTGACACTATTTACTCAAATGCTTATTGTTTTTATTAATAAAGTAATTTGTGAATTATGATTCTTCAGTTTTAAATAAAGAAAATAAAACAAATGGAGCAGCCATTTTGAAATCATCTGTGGTGCTATCCACATTTTCTTGAGTTTCTACATTGGGAAAATTTGCTTGGAGTTCATTCAGATTATAGTAGAATGTCAATTCTACTAAAAAATTGACATACTATAGTAGTTTTATTCTGTTCATTTAATACACAGATATTGAGCTGCAAAATGTGTGGTTCGATTTAACTGTGAAGCTCTTCTGTTCTCAATATTTGTTCCATATTGTAGAAAATAAGCCTTCTATGTGTTAATATGTGGACTCTTTCTCGTTAGTCTGCTCCAACTGTGATTATTATCAACTAATTAGTTGTTTAGTTTTGCAGACGTTTAAAAATAGAGAGTAAACATTTAGACACTTCCATAGGACTAATTTTTGATCTGTGGGATATTAATGGTTATATTTTACATAACTTTAAAGTTCATTATTCTAAATTCCTTTGATTATATTTTGCAAAAGTATCATCTACAATGGATTGGGAAAAAAAAACAGAAGGCTGGTTCTTGTACTCAGAAAATGTTAAAAGTAGTATCCTGGGTTAGTGTAAAACTGTACCGTTAAGTGATCTTCAGGTACGATCTAAAAGTTTCTATTCAGAGAGATGAAAGCAGAACTCCCATGAGATACAAAAATATAAGTAGCTGTGTGCTCAACCATAGTGAATGAATGTAAGGTGCATATAGCATATCATAGATTTTGCTGCTATGTAATTGTTACATAGCTGATATGGAATAAAATGCTTCCAGATATACTTGTCAAAGAGGAGACATGACAGTTATTTAACAGCTCTTGCATTGGCAATTTTCTGTAAACTAACTTATTTATTTAGGTATGTTTCCAATTTAAGTGACACTGCTTGATCCAGATGAATGAAGTGTGGTGCGGTGATGGCAGGCTTGGGCAGAGAAAACAAGTATCTGTTAATTTAAAAAGAAAACAGTCTTTCCTAGTGGGTATCCCCTCTCTTTATTAATATACATGTGGTAGGGTGTTTGGGGGTTGCAGAGGACAACTTGCAGTAATTAGTTCTCTCTTCAGCATGTAGGTCCCAGGGACCAAACTCAAATATTGAAAGCAACCCCTGTTACCTGCTCTTTCAACTCAGCAGCCCATAATTTATAAATCCTACAAACTGTATCCATATCTATCTTTATAATTAAAGTGCTGTATATTCTGGCTTTTATGGATCATCATTTGAGTTTGAAGAAATATTTAAGTTCATTTGGTAAACTTACGCTTTATTTTCCACATTTTTTATTGAGATATTTTGTCATCATTTTTTTACCTCGCAGGTATGCAATGCCTTTGATTATTCTTTGTTATAAAATAAAATACCTAACAACTTCTAAAACATTAATATTTATGGTGGTAGCATTTCTTTGGTTTTTATTAAGGCAATGCAATCTTAAAACGAAATTTGTGCCTCAAATCTATGTTTCATTTTGTTATTAATTTCTTGAGCCACAAACTTCTCTAAGTCCAGGAAAATGCTATCTACTTATAAAATTTTTCCTTTTTAAACTAGTAAATATACAGAATTGGAGTTGTTGAATTAAGGGGAATGTAAACAAATATACATTAGCTAAATATACATTATAGCATAGCTACATATTTACCTATTTTATAACAGAAAATGTAAGGGAAAATGTATAATTAGTGTGCAGGGATAAAGAATGCCTTCAACTTTAGAGGGAATAGTAGTGGGGTGCTAGGAAAGGATTTGAAAGGGAAGCAATGAGGGGGTAAACCTGATCCAAACACATTATATACATGTGAAAATTGTAGAAAATACTTAACAACTTATAAAAGGAGTTTCCCCCAAGGAGCATACCAATTCTCTATTCAATATCAGATGGTCAGACCTGAAAACATTTGTACAAGGAACATCATATGAACTGAGGTTATATTTTAAAAAGAAATGTGTGTGTGTGTGTGTGTGTGTGCACGCACGCAATAACAATAAGAAAAGAAGCCATGAATTTAAGAGAACAAGGTGGGATATATAGGAGTGTTTGGATGGAGGAAAGGGAAAGTAGAATTGATGTAATTATGTTATAATCTCAAAGAAATGAAAAGCGAATGATTTTATTCCATCTCTTATGTTTTTGAGACATGCATTCTTTTATTATCTTCTGTCAACAATTATAGTTTCTAATTCTTCTCTATGTGACTTAGTACAGCTTGAACAACCTTACCAAACAAATGATGTAATAAGAGCCAGAGGTTAGGGAGGATTACTATGAAACAGTATTTTCTGGATATGATAAGTCTGGTCCACTTATAAACTCATAGGAATTGTGGTTGTCAGTATCAGACTTGCACAGTATCGAGCCAATCAAAATTCCACATGGATATGTTTGAGGTGGGTGAGTTTTGTTTAATAAGTTGCTTATATTCTCATAGTTGGCCCTAAACCCATGCACATGCTAGAAACACTAATTGAATTAAGTTCAATATAAAAAGAGAACATGACATTGGGAGATATGATGGGAGTGATATTTATTGGGGAAGGCATAGTGGGTGAATATAATCAGAATTCATTGTATGAAATTCACAGGAATATATAAGAAAATATATTTAAAGTGATAAACTGGTTTGAACTGAAATTCACTTACAAATATTTCTTCTGTTAGGTTTTTCTTGTTAGAAAGAAGACTGGTCCTGATGCTGGGCAGCTCTATGCAATGAAGGTGTTAAGAAAAGCTTGCTTAAAAGGTATCAAATTAAAAAGTTTAATTAGAATATAATTTGGTAAAACTTGGTTTATGAAATGCACCATACGTTGCTTGTAAAGGGAATACTTAGAGTTGCTTTTTAGCATTGTTAATTATTACAGTTTCCTAGTTATCAACTGACACTTCTGGGGACCTCTGTTGTCATATAACTTAATTTTCTGAATGTGTATCTGAATAAAAGTTTAATAGCAGAAAATGTGACATATTTCATTTAATTCAGTCTAAACTTCAGCATTTTAAAAATCTTACTTTTTTCTTTCAACTTTTTTTTAATGTTTTGTCTGGGTGGTGCACATTTAGAAAGCACAACTACTCCATACATTTATATGCACTGTCTTCTAGACTTATAAAAATAATGCAGATCCTGACATGATAACACAAACCTGTAATCCTAGCTCTACAGAGGTGGAGTTCAAAATCATCCTCCACTGTATAACATATTCAGGACCAGCATGGACTTCCTGAAACCCAGTGAAAGAGAAAAAGGCGGGCGAGGGGGTGTCAGGGTAGAAGATGAAGTTTACTACTAATTTCAATTTTATTTCACATGAAAACTTAAATACGTATTAGCCAAATATGCTACTTTAGATCTCTAGATCTAAACAAAATCTTCTGGTTTCTGAAAATGGTTATTATAATCTAGGACTACACAGACTTAATTGCATTGGTTACTTATGAAATTATTTGTGTATTTATATTTTGGTTAGTAAATGGCAGGTCTTTACTGAAATTATGAACAAGTGTAATATTTCAATCTTTGTATAATTTTAGTTCGAGACCGCGTTCGCACAAAGATGGAGAGGGATATTCTGGTGGAAGTAAATCATCCATTTATCGTCAAACTACACTATGGTATGCAACCTTTTTTAAATTATGGAATTAGAGTAGTACAATTAGTTTCAGATAGTATAACAAGAAATAAATACTTTAAAGTTAGTTAATGTATTCTGCAATAGAAAATATGAAACATGTATCAATATCTAGCTTTTAGTTGAATTTTATTTTAAGTTGATATACTCAATTATGTAACATGATAATGTCTTCCAAAATCCCATCAAGTATCACAGAGGAGGTCATGAAGTCTCACCCCAAATTGAACTATTGGCAGTTGATGGCTATGGGTAAAGAGTCAGTTTTCTTCAGCTGTGCAGTATCTAAGACACTACCCATGTTTCAGTAGATGACTCTATACGCATACACATACTGGCTGAACTCCTAAAAATGAACATGTGAAATTGGGAGGCAGTAGTATTGGGTGGCTATGAGAGGAAGTGGAGAGAAGAAAATGGGCATAAGTTTGTGTATATGTATATATGAAAACACATTTTGCACACACACACATATATAAATTCCCATGCAATGAAAAATGAAAATGTCTTCAACTTGTTTGACCAGTAGTATTTTTAGATGAGATGAGACAGTACCTCCATGATTATAGACTACTATGATAATTTATGTAAATCATTTTGATGTTTACTTACAAGGACAACATTATTTTTATTTTCCAGCTCTAATTAAGGCTGTGTGGTTATATATTAGGTAGTTTGAGCTGTTTTGTAATATAATGGAGGAGCTGGGAGTAGTAAGAAATAGCAGAAATAATGGAAGGATGAGTTTTGGAATCAGACATTTATGAATTTCAGTCATGTCTCCTTTGTTAATATATGAAAGAGATTGTAGATATGATTTTCTTGGGGAATAGATCAAAATAAAACTTTGATGTAGTTTATGATACCATTTCATTTTGTGCATTTAAAATGTAGCACATATTGATTTTATTCTTAGTGCAGGTTTTGAGAGAACTCATTTTAAATATTTAACAAGATTATTCAAACCTTATAAGAAATTCTGACCACTTTAACTCTTTTTTTAAATGTAATAGAATAAAAACGGCAATACTATAGAATGTCTTTGAGTCTCTTACTTACCATGAGATTAATAGTAAACCTTTATTGTGGCAAAATACTGTATTATATGAAGTGGGCTACTGAAATAATCCCTGATTTCTAGTAATATATAGGGAATTAAGCTGTGCAAATGAAAGTGAAAAAATGCAAAAGAGGCATGAAGTATAGTTAAATATGAAAAGTATTAGTAGATAATTTTGATGGAGATTAAAGATGCTATAGGGAAGTGTGCAGTGTTTTAGAGGAGGTGACTTCTTTGAGCTTTATAGAATGCAATAGATATGATTGGGTGACAAATTTCAGGCAACTGTACCAGAACAAGAAACTTCATTAACAGGAAAATTTTAGTAGTAGATTTTGTAAAGCCACATGTAACACTGAATATGTTCTGTAAAGGAATTTATAGCAATTTGAACAATCAATTAAATAGTAGATTTAATTTGATATTATCTAACAATAGACCATTTAAATATATAATTATTTTATAATGTTGATAAGTTGTAAACATGTTAATATAAAAGTATGGTAAAATTTTCAGTCTTTAGGGTTAGTCTGCTACAACCTTATTATTTCTTTTTTTTTCCTTTTATTTTCAACCTTATTATTTCTAATTAGCCTTTCAGACTGAGGGAAAGCTGTATTTAATCTTGGATTTCCTCAGAGGAGGAGATGTCTTCACAAGATTATCCAAAGAGGTGAGAATTTCTTTACGAATTTGTTAATAGATTTTATTCTAACAAAGATAAAAAGTCCTATAATTTTTTCTGTAGAAATTTGAAATCATAAGCTTTTTATCACTCTATATAGTATTTAGTGATATGTCAGTTAATACTTTCTGTGCGTGCTTTTAGATAATCTCAGTGTTCTTTTTATTCTTCTCTGAGATGATAGGGCATTATGAATAACTGAGTGAACTAGATAGGAGCAAGTCTAGGACTTTGGTTACCTAAATGCCTCTTGTGTGGTGTTTAGTTTATTCAGAAGTTGATTTATTGAGGTATAATTGACATACAATAAATAGTACAACAACTTATACAATTTGATATCTTTTGCCTTTTTATGTAAATGTGAAATCATTAAAATAAAATAATGTTATTACCAAAGGGGCTTATAAAGTGTTTTTTTCCACCCTACATCTACTGAGTCTGCTGTCTGTCACTGTTTGTGTTTTCTAAGAGATTATATAAACAAGATCATATTGCATATATATATATATATATATTCTTTTTATCTTGTTTAAATCATTATAATTATTTTGGTTTATCCATGTTGTATTTGTTAGCTCATTCACTTTTTTGGTGAGTAGTACCCATTTTATGGATGTACCATGTTTTGTTTATTTACTTGATGAATGTTTGTGTTATTGCAGTTTTTGGATATTACCAATTAAGCTGCTGTAAACATTCATGTACAAATGATTGATTGTATTGACATAATGTTTTCATTTCTCATGAATAAATATCTAGGAGTTCGATAACTGGGTCACATGGTAGGTGTGTTTTAACTTTAAAGTCACTGCCAAACTGTTTTCCAAAGTGCTTGTATAATTTTTACACTCAAACAGCAGCATACAAGAATTTCAGTTGCTTCACATCCTTGCCAACAGTTGGTATGATCAGTCTTTTTTTTTTCTTTTAAAACATTTGAACGTCTGTTAATTATATAGTATTACTTAATTGTGGTTATCAATTTCATCACCTTAAAGACTAAAGATGTTGGGCATCTTTCCCTACATTTATTTGCTGTCTATCTTCTTTGATAAAATGTTTAAACATTTTCCCATTTTCAAGTTAATTATTTGTTTTCTTCTGGAGGTTCCTAGTTTAGATGGAAGTCTGTTATCATGTATGCTATTTTAAAATATTTTCTTCTGGTTTTTAGGTTGATTTTTTTTAATCTCATATCATATGAAAGCAGAATTTCTTAATTTTGGCGAAGTCTGGTTTGTAATTTTCCCATTAAATTAATGTTTTTTAATTACCCCACTTAAATGTTTATGTAATTCTAGGTGAAAATTTTTCCTGTATATTTTAGAGTATTTTGTAGTTTATATTTGTATCCTTAATTCATTTTGGGTTATTTTAATATGTGGTTATATAGGTACGTGCTGAAGTTTTTTTTGTTTTTTGTTTTTTGTTTTTTTACATTCAGACTTCTAGCATCATGGTTGGGAAAATTATCTTTTTTTCAATGAATTACCTTGTAATTTCATTTAAAATCAGATTTTCATATGTGTGAAGGCCTATCTCTGGATACTATGTTCTGTTCAGTGACTTATCTGTCTATCTTCATGACCATACTCCTCTGTCTTGATTAACTGAATCTTTATAGCATATCTTGAAGTTGGTGATTACAATCCATGAGCTTTGCTTTTCTTTTGCAAATTTTTAGGCTCTTGTAGGTCATTTGCATTTCTTTATTAATTTTAAAGTCACCCTTTCACTTTCTTATAAAAAAAGCCTACTTAGATTTTTGGTTGGTATTTTCATTCAGCCTGTAATTCAGTTTGCACAAAATGGACATTAAAAAATACTGACTTTTCTATAAACATGGTTTCTTTTTCTGCTCCAAATCATGCCTAATTTCAGGAGTGATTATTTTCGGCATATAGGTCTTGCACATCTTTTGTCAGATTTATCTTTTAGTGCGTCCTGTTTTAATGATGCAAGAAGAATTGTTCTTTTAATTTTAGTATCATTGGGAAAAACAATAGAGTTTTTCTATATTGAGCTTGAATCTCACAATCTAGCAGAATTAACATATTTTAGCTGCTTTTTGTGTAGATTCAAAAAAAATGTTATACTAATTACTTTTGACAAGGTGCTTTACTCCTTTCCGCTTTGGATATCATGTATTTCTTTATTCATAACCTTGTTAACACTGGCTTGAATTTCATTCTGATGTTGAATAAATTTGATGGGAAACAGACATTCTTGTCTTAATAATTCAAAACAGATTGAAACTAATTTCACTTTAAAACTTAAACCTGTATGTGAACTTTATTAGCTTGAGTTACTATCTCTTATTAAGTTGTGAAGAAGTGTTTTAATAAATGATACATATTGTCACATGCATTTAATGGAGACTTTTTTCCTACTTAATTTCTGATATGTTCAATTAAATGAAACATATTAATGTGAAATTAAATGAAAGTGAAGTGGTAACCCAACCTTGCATTTGTGAAGGAATACCCCATAGACATCAAGTATAATTATTTTAAAATATTATTGGATGATAGGTGCTAAATGTTTGTGTTTACTTTCGTTTTAATTTTTTCCCTTCTGTTTTTATTGTATGTGTATGGGTGTTTTTCCTGAATGTATGTAGTGCCAATAAAGGCTGGAAGAAGGCTTTAGTTTCCTCTGGAACTGTAGTTACAGATAGTTGTGAACTGCCACGGGGATGCTGGGAACTGAACATGACTCTTGAAAGAGCAGCCCAGTGTTCTTAACTGCTCAGCCATCTCTCTATACCTGCAATTATTTTCATAAGGAATATTTATTTTCTTGTTTGTGTCTTCTTCATTTGTTTGTTGTGTCAAGGTAATTCTTGATTTTTAAGTTGAATAGATATTTTTCAACTTTCAGTAGAACTTATTTAGATTCAATGGTCATTGTTGTAATGATTGATAGAATTTATGTGTGAAGGCAACTTGGCCTGGTAAGGTGTTTGACTAAAAGAAGTTCTTTTTAGTAAGGTGTTTAAACAAAAAGTCAATTTATATAATATATTTAAGATTATTGTTTCTTTTTGATGAAGTTTGTCTGCTACCTTATTTCTTTCAATGCATGTATTAGTTTCATCAAATTTGTAGCTATAGGTTTTATGCTCATTATTTGCCCTTGTTGTATTAAAATGCCATGACCAAGAGGAACTTCTAGTAGAAAGAGGTTTTTTGTTTGTTTGTTTGTTTGTTAGCTTGCAGTTCCAGAGCAAGGGGCCATAATCTCAGGGGAGACATGACGGCAGGGTGGAAAGCTAAGGGATTCTATCTCACTGTCACTTAAGAAGCAGGCAGAATGATTTGGAAGCGGAACAAGACTGTAAATGCTCAAAGTCTACCCTCAGTGATATACTTTGTTCAGCAATATTTCTTGTCCTAAATGGTTCATAACCTCTTCAAACGGTGCCAACAGCCAGATACATGAGCCTGTATGAGACATTTCTCATTCAAGCCACCACAACTGTTCATTATATTCCATTATTATCTCTTCTCATAGGTGTAGAATTCTTATTTATGGATGAATCGCACTCCTGATGGTGGTAGTTTGTCTTTTCTTCTTTAGTCCTGTTTGGCATTGCTAGTGGTTTATCAGTTTTATTTTTCTTTTTATGATACAAGCTTTTAACTTTATTGATTTTTTTGTCTGAAAATCCTTGATAGCTCTAAAATTATATGTAGTGGTGTAGTGGTTGAGTAGTTACCAATGTGTGTATAAATTACATGCTCAACTCTCATATGCCAGTACTAATAAAACCATATAGTTTCATATTTAGGTACATTTAAATGAGTCTGATTCTTATAACAGTGTTTTTAGTCAAATGTAGTAGATATTTTTATTTTTTGAAAAATTAAAAACTCAGGTTCAAAGTATTAAATGACATAATCTAATTTCAAACCTCTAATTCTGACTTCAAGTTTCATATGCTTTTCAATTTGTCTTAACATCTTTATTCTCCAACATAAACACACAAAGGTTGAAAAATCAACTGTCATTAAATTCATAAACTTTGCTTACAGGTGGATGGATCCCTTTTAGATCAGATGTGAGCATGGAAGGATTATTAATTTAACAACTTACAGTGATAAATTTAGAAGCTTAGAATTAGTGGAGCTACATGTGAAATTACTGAGAAGTAATAATAGGTGGCAAAAGAGAAATTATAAAAATGGAAGTATGAGTGTTAAAACAAAATATTCCTAATAATTTAATTACTATGAGTGAGCCCAGCCACTATGCCAATTCAGTATACCAAAATTAATATTGATTTTATACGACTCATAAAAAGCCTAAATTTTTTGAAGAACATTTAATGTAAGATGATGTATAAACAACATGTGTTTCTGAAAGAATTATACTTAAATTGCTATTTTTTTTTTAAAAAGAAGAATTTTAAAGACACTAACATCAAGTATCTGAAAAACATCTCTGGTTTACTTAATGACAGTGCCAATCAAGTAATATTTAACTACACTTATTTTCTTATTATTTGCCTGGATTTTTCTGTCTAGTGGTGTTAAAGAAGTAAATTAAAAAGTACATAATATAAGAAGAAAGATCAAATGATGAATTATTATTTTATTTTAGGTTCTTTTTACAGAGGAAGATGTGAAATTCTACCTTGCCGAATTGGCCCTGGCTTTGGATCATCTGCATCGATTAGGAATTGTGTATAGAGACCTGAAACCAGAGAAGTAAAATTATATTATCGATTTGTATCCATGTTATCTATATTGCTTTTTAAGGTTTTTTCTTACATTGACGTATTATATGTGTTTGTATGTGTGACTGCATTCATATGTATGCTGTGGCGTGTGTGTGGAGGTAAGAGGACAACCTGGGGGATTTCTTTACTCTCCTTCTACAATGTGGGTGCCAGATATCAGTTTGTCAATCTTGGTGGCAATTGCCTTTCTCTACTAAGCCTTCCTGTCTCTCCACCCTTTATTCATATTTATTTACATTTTTGAATGCAAATATATTTTGGTATTTCATTAAGCTTTTTTGAATTATGAATTTTTGATGGTTGATACAGTTACATAAAATTAACTTGTACAAAATAATCTTCATAATACACTTTTGTTTTTAAAATACTAATTGAAAATTTCCCAATATATCAAAAAGTGACTAATTTTATATTTATGACATTTATGTGTTTCATTTCAAAATGCTGAATGTGAAAATAGTGACCAATTTTATATTTATGATCTTCATATATTTCCACCATATTTAATATGAATTTTTATTTACAGCATCTTGCTTGATGAAATAGGACATATCAAGTTAACAGGTATATAAATTTTCTTATATACTAATAAGCCTATTATTTAATTATTTTTCATCATTCTAGTACATGTTTTCCTCATCTTTTTTGGTGTTCATTTGAGTTGCATTTTATGTTTTGAGTGTATTAAGATTCATTTAAAGGTTACATAGTTTCAGTGTACTCTGAGTACATTTAAAATTCTACAATAGAGGCACAGTCCTAATTAAGATTATTTCAGGCAAAAATAGTAGATTTTGGTTTTATTTTACACTGCAAGAATTAGCTGAGTAGTTATCACATCTTAAAAAATAGTAATAAACTCCTCCTACCTTTCTCTAACTTTGGAGTCAGTTTTCTATTCTATATATCTATGGATTATATAACCCAGTTTTGTGGGACTATTCAATATTTGCATCTCTCAGCACACCCGTTTACAATACCTCAAGACTCGAAGTGACCTTACTGTCTTGAAACGGTTAGTGAGTAAACAAGCTACGTGTTATTTCCATGTGATGGGCTACTGAGCAATTAAAGGATGGAAACATTGATTTCCCAATAATTTGGTAAATGACAAAGACATTATATTGAGTGAGTTAAGCTCAAGAAGTTACACATGTTTTCAGTACATAGTAAGTTCTGTATTTAAGTTTTGGAAAGCTATAACCAAGAAAATGAAGATGTATTTTATATAAAGAAATTTGAACTGATAATAGTTAAAGTTGCTCTAAATTATGGAATATAATATATCAATGTAAAAATAATCAAGTTGTTATTTTATAGCCTGAAGTAAACATGTCAACATGAGATTATATACCTCTAAATTCTTCAAATATATCTTTTTCAATTTTTAATTTTATGTACATTGGTGGTTTGCCTGCATGTGTGTCTGAAAGGATGTTGGAGTTACAGACAGTTATGAGCTGCCATGTGGATGCTGGGAATTGAACCCAGGGGTCCACTGGAAGAACAGCCAGTGCTGTTAACCACTGAGTCATCTCTCTAGCCTCTACTTCAAATATA